TGTCAACTTTGGAAAAAAGTATCCCAGGTTACCGTGTTGAGTTGGCATTGTACAGAAATTAACAGCCATATTGGTCTAGAAATGTTGAACTTAATTTTTTTCCATTTGTACAGGGGTAATGCACTGTATTAAATATGTAAGGTCTTAATAAAAAAAGAATATGCTGCTAATGTGTCTAATACTTATGTTTCCACAAACTCTAAGAATTCTTGTAAGTTCCAGGGAGCTGAATTGGATCCAAACAAACAGGTCAGATTCACTCCAGTTATTCAATCTTTCTCTGGTCCCAGGACTCCCTTCCCTCATGTTGAAACTCCTCAGGAACCCCTCCTTCATCTTATAATCATCCCCTCAAGTGACAGGACCTAAGAAAAAATTTTTTTTCTAAACTTAACCTTGTCCTCTGCTGCCAACATCTTGCCTGGTCTAAGAGGCGCCAGGGAGTTCCATACAGCCTGGACTGCGATGAAACAACCAGCTACCCCAGGACGTGGCAGCACCCCAATCTTCTCAGGTCCCCCAAAGATGGTCAACGCCCCCCATGTCACCAGGAAGCAGTCTTGAGAATTAGACGCCCTTATTCCTTAACCTGCCATGTCTAACACCCCACCTTTTTTAATAATAAGTAGAGGTGGGAATGAAAGGTTCAGGCTGTAATGCTGATCAGGTCTACCTCTTTAAGAGACAGACCCCGCCCCCTGACAACAGGGCACACAAGGGGACGTGCCATCACCACATCACCCACCACGCATTCACAGCCTGCTGAGGACTCTGGGCATGCATGGAACCTCAGTGCATGCGCAGTCTTCCCTTTAAAAGCTCCAGCTTCCCTGCTTTGCTCTCTCTCTCTGCTTCTTCTTCGCTCTGCTCTTCTCTTCTCCCACCTATGCGCTCTCTCTGCCTCTCTATGGTGAGCAGCCATGGTGGTCAGCCATTACCCCTGTTCCTTTTCTCTCTCAGTCTCCCTACTCTGCTGGGCCTATAATAAACTAGTCAATATGTCTAATATGTCTCATCTTGCACCTCCTTCTCCTTTTCTTTACATCTAATTTAAACAAAAACATAACAAGCACACCCTAATATGTCACTGGGAGGATTTTCTTTCACTGTGTGACATTCAGGGCGGGTATTGCTGTTAATTGAGCCCACATTTGGAGGTTTGCCATCCTAACAACCTTGTCTTACAGAATACTGCAGCCAATGGCTTGAAGAACCATCTCTGACCTGTGTGTTCAGTTCCAAGTATAGGAAAGATTCACATGCATTTGTCATATTTCTGAACAATGGTTCTGAACTGAAAATCCAGGGTTGGCCATAACGCCACACAGTGGAAAGACAAAAATAGCTACGATATATACTGATGTCTTTGAATATACAAGATGACATTAAGAGCCACACACACATACTGACAAAAACACTCATATACATGCACAGGCCTGCACAATAGGTCCCAAAAAGCTCACCTTAGGATTTAAAAAAATATCTGCATGGTGAACCATCAACTTCCATTTATCAAGAAGGCAAAAAGGAAAGAAAGGAAGAGAAAAAGCACCTCAGTGTTCAAGGGCCATCATCAAGAGCCAGACCCAACCATGGAGCAGACTTGGCCACTAGAAACTGAAAAGGAAAAAACACGTCTTCATTTTAATTTTTATTATGTGACTGAGTGTTCTGCCAGAAGACGACATCAGATCCCCTAGAACTGAAGTTACAGACAGTTGTAATCTGTCATGTGTGTGCTAAGAATTGAACTCAAGTCCTCTGGAAGAGCAACCAGTATTCTCAAACACTGGACCATCTTTTCATCCTAACAAAAAACAAATTCTAATAGAAATATAAGAACGTCTATTTCCAGAAAAGTATCAGAATAGTGTTATAAAAAGCAGTAATATCAAGATGTGCCGCCATGCTTGGTGAGCCGACCTTGATCCATGTGACCCAAATGGCAGAAGGAGAAAACTCAACTCCCAGAACTTGTTCTCTGACTTACACAAGCACACACACACACACACACACACACACACACACACACACACACACACACACACACACACACCCCACAGTATTAAAAACCAGTGGAGGAGAGAGAAGCCAGAGGCATGGGGATATCTGTGACTTTAGGGCCAGCTTGGTCTACCTCACAAGTTCTATGCTAGCAAGAGCTACAAAGTGAGATCCTGTCTAAAGAAAAAAGGAATGAAGATGTGGTAAGAAGCCAAGGCTTGCAAAGGTGTGACCTTTGCCCCAGTGTTCAGCACCCATAGGATGAAGTCCTGAGGCACTGGGCGTGGAGTGGCAAGCCTCTCCCTCCAGCAATGGGGGGAGGGGATTACTGAGACTGTGACTTTACACTGTTTGGTAGATTAAGAAACCAGGTCCAATCAACTGAAATTTTCATTCTATAAGTAGGTAAGCTGTGTGATGTTTCAAATGAGATGATTGCTCTAAAGCTCTCTCTCCTGTTGTAGCACCAAGTCTAACCCCCAAGAGCAAAACTGTTTAACAGTCACATGCATGGCGTCTCTGTGCACACCTTCCTAAACACTGCAGAGCAAATGGAGACATTGCTTCACACATTCTCGTAGCACAACAGACTAGAGCCACTTCCTGAAATCGCAGTGATTCATCCTGCTGAGTTTCATATTGAAAACAAACATCCCTCCAACCCGGCCTTCTCACCACAGAGGCCACAGTCAAGCAAGTTCCCATCCTGCGCAGAATCGGAACTTCAGACTTGCCTCGCACGTCTCCTTAAAATAAAGCTTTAGTGTACTCTCGGAGCTTTTAGAGATACTATGTGTGGGTGTCAGATTTAATACATCCTCCTGGAGTTATCTGTGCCGGGAGGTGGGTTGCTTTGGACCCATGTACACAGTCAAGCTGCCTGTGGTTCAACATGCTCAGTGAGAAAGAAAAGAAGCCGTCTAGGGGAAGCTTTTGCTATGAGGTTTGCTCCCAAACCTGTGTATTACCCAGTGTAAACATTATCAGAGATGTTTCACGAAGAAGGAACCAACAGACATTAAAGAGGACTTTCACTTTCATTTTAACTCTAAAGACACAATTAATGACCAGGGCTCAGGATTCGATATTAAATTAAGTGCACGGAGGAAAGCATGGCCTGGGGCTGTATCAGCATTAATGGTCTAATGAAAACCCATTTTTGAAGTATATTACACACTGGAATCAAGTCTCCCTCCAAACAGCCAAAGTCCTTAACATATACCTTATGAGCAAATTCCATGCCCATGGCTGAGGGAAGTGGTATGACCGTAAAGGGATGTATTCACAGTATGCATTAAAGAAATAGAAATAATAGATAATGTTTCAATTATGCTGACAGGTCAACGAATTCTGATTGTAATATTGAAAATGACGGTTTTCTGTA